AGTAGGCGTCATTGGCAGTCATGGTGCAAAGTAGTTGTAGACGTAATGACAAAAAAGCTTGCACTTGTGGTGGTCGCCATCGTCTTGTCGCCGTGCTGATTGCTGCTGCTGCCCCTGCTGCTGTTGCTATTCTTTGCTGTCGTGGTGGTGGTGGTGGTGGTGGTGGTGGGGGGGGTGATGGCGGTGATGGCGGTGATGGCGGTGATGGCCGTGATGGCGGTGATGGTGGTGATGGTGGTGATGGTGGTGATGGTGGTGATGGTGGTCAATATGCAAAGATGGCGAGAACACGGACGTTGTGACTCTGGTGACGATTTTCTCTCAACAGCCTCGTAGGATCGGTCTGCCGGCGAAAGGCAGGCGAGCATCACCATGAAGCCTGCGTGACTCGGCATGTATCTTGCTACAATCACCAGCAAGGACAACAGCAATAATGTTGATGATGAAGATCATAACGCTCGTGACGGCGACGACAACAGTACTAACGACAACGCCTACAATGCTACAGCAGCGAAACAGCCACCAGCAAGCAACACAACCACCAGCACCGCATAGCCACCTCTACCGTTGCCGCCGCCGACACCACCACAACAGCAACAGCCACGACGACGGCGACGACGAAGAAGAGTTTTATGTTTTATATTACATTGACCATAATGACGATCATGTTTAGCACTTTCTAGTCAAAAGTAAGTAATTAGTCATAACCCACTGACTAAAGAACACTGACTGACTGATCGACCAACTAACAAACGAACTAAGTAGCTGTCAGACTCACTGACAGTAGTTGCCGTAACCACAAATGCCACCGCCACCTCAACACCCAGCATCCAAGAACAAACAAGATCGGCAACCAACACCGAAGATTAGCGAAACGATCACCACCACGACCGAGCTGACAGACAAGACGGAGGAGGATTGTCACACTGGGAGACGACAGCGGAGGAACCGCGATGCATCCGCCAACGTGACCACGTCGACGGTAATGCGACGATGATGATGATGATGATGATGATGATCATGATAGCAAGATCACATTCAGATCATCTTCTGGAGATTCTGGACGGGGAGGAAGCTTGCAGCTTGAGCTCTTTTGGAGGCCTTTGCCGCCAATAGCGTGCTGCAGCAATGAAGTCCTTGGTTATGGCATTGGTTCGCAGGCTTGGCTTACAGACTTTCGAACCGTCCTGGAACCGCCTCCCCACCCTGCGAAGCACAGTGCCTATACTAACGAACGGTGGGCCGGAACACTCTGAGGATCTCTGAGGTCCCAGTGCCTCACACCCCATCGCACAGCATTCCGCAAAGCCATGCATTCAGCAGTCCCCGTGTCAGACCCTAAGACACAGCCCGAGTGCCGCCCCATTAGCAGAGCACCCGCGTTTAACGAACACTCTTCACAGACCGAAGGACACACGAGTAGACTTTAACGTCTCGAAGGAGACCCGTTTTACAGACTAGAGCTTCTCTACAGGAACACGAATCCCGACCTTTTTTTTGAGCGACAAGGCGTGAATGCCCAAAATACCTGCACAAACTTCCTGCAGCCCAGCAACAGCTTCGATTCGCGATATGGTATGTGCCTTAGACTTGGATGAGCGCTTCAAATCCGGCCTCCGGAACCGAAACTCTCAAAAAACTGCTCCCTGGCCGAATGGTGCACGACTGAACTTGGAAAAAGCAAGCACCTATCAGGCACTGCGACGTGTTGCAGCCTCTGAACCGGAGACTGCCGTGTGCAAGCTTGCCCCCAAGTCTCGGACTCGGGCTCACAAGCTGCCTCGGCCTCCTCGGCCCCCTGAACCTACACCCTGACGCCTCAAGATTTTTTCAAAGCCGGAGCTTAATTCGCCAGGCCGCGTGTCCTCTTCGTGGCTGCTGTCCCGGCGGCTGAGGGCGGTGATCACACGCCGGAGCACAAACAGAGACTGGTTGATGTTCACCGCCTCCTGATGAGGGGCGGGGGATGGGGCGAGCAAGCTGAGGCAGGTACTGCATCACATCAACAATGTTACAGTCAGCAGATGCTGTTGTGGGTAGAACTGTAGAACATGATCTTCTCCACTCCCCTGCTTAGTTTCACCATATCCATCATGGTCAAGCTACGTCTGACCACCATGTGACCACCACCACTCATCCTTTTCGCACCAGACAACAGTATTGCCTTGAAGCGCTCCGGGTTGCCCTCGTTGGCTGCGGCGGCTTTCTCAGAGCCTTGCACGATGTGTGACAGAGGCTCGGTTCCGGAAACAACTGCGTGACACCCCAAGGACAGCTGCTCCACTACGGGAGTACCTGTTCAAGCCACTTTCGGAGTCTGCGGGTGGTGCGCAAATGTTGGCTTCAGGTCTCTGCCTCGCTGGGCTGCAAGTTTGGGGCCGGATTCCCTCTGTCGTAGATCTAAAGCCCCTTAGCCTTAGCCTTTGTTCTAGACGTCCAAAAATCCCCTAACAACCCGAACGTAACGGCCCGGCACTCGCCACCTGCCAAGTCCACCAGCGCCAGGTGCGACATCACCTCCCGCACGGCCTCGCCTTCACATCTCTTCAATTTCAGGCTTGGGGCAGTTTGGAGCCTTCGGGGTGTACCCGTCCAGTTTCGGATTATTATCGAGACTGTAGTCGCTGGAAAACGACAGCGTTTCATGCAATCCTGTAGCTAGCCCTCGGACAGACTCCCGCATTTGCATGATGATCTTCGGCCTGCCAGACCCCGACGGCTCTTTGTAGAAGACAGCGGATTCCCACATACGGCACGATGCGGCGAACGACATTCCGTGTCACCACCGATCCCACACTGATCTCATCACATCGTACCGCATCTTGAAGGTCCTTGCCTGAGCCCAGGTCGCTCGTTTCTGCAAGGACAGACCTCGGAAGGTAAGACAATCTGAGAGTCGCGTCAACGCCGTACCCTGCATGCAGGGATCCCTTGCTGCAGTAGGAGCATGCCCAATCGTCTTCCTATTGCTTCGACTGCCGGCAGCAAATGCGGCAGCGAAGCTGCTAAATAGCGTCGGGTTCCTACATCAGTTGACAGCAGGTCTTTCTCCCGACGAGTGGCCGTCGACGAAGCGTCAGCATGAGCCTTACTACGCAAGAATCCGTGGCGTGTTTGATTCATCAAACGCCCGAGGTTCAGGATCGATCTGAAGGTCAGTGGGCCATGCTGGGTGATGGGTCGCAGCATGTCGCAGCGCAGAGGACTTCATGTGCAATTCACCAATGACACACTTTCCAAACTCCTGAAGCTTCAAGCCCCCCGTGCAAAGCCTCCCGCAGGTCCAAGACAAGACCGTCCAACATCAGACTCCGCTGGTCTCTTCTTCTGGTTCTAATATAGGGACCTTAATAAATAGAATAGGGCTTTGGGGCCCAATATGCTATAATTATTGTTGAACTTCGTCATCTGATCTTGCTACCCTGCTGTCTGGCCTTGCCACAGTCTGACCAGGTAGATCCTCAAGGTTAGGGTTAGCCTGCTCACTTTCGGGCTCCACGCTCATCCCCGCAGTAGATCTACGACTCCTCAAAACGAAATCCGTAGTCAGTCACACGAGAAAGGCCATGGGGCCGCGGGCGAATTGAAGACTCTCTTTTTCACAGCAACAACATCTCTGAATCCTTGCGCTGCTACCTTGTCCAAAGATCTATGCTACGCTTTGGGAGAAAACTGCAGTTGCTGACTGTGACAGTTCGAGCCACAACTACAGTCGCGAGGAGGTATCCAGCTGTACAAAACGAAACCTGGAATTCTACACTCCTCCTTGGAACCATCGCTAGATGAGTTCCACAAACTAATCACCTAACATCCCTGGCTCTACTCAGGCAATACTGACAGACAGCCTTTGGCTTGATATTGAAGGCTCGGCGCAGGCCTCTGCAATCCTGATCCCTGTGAACACATTCACCTCCCCCTGAAACATAAACATACTCCCCAGGATCAAGAACAATCACAGGATCAGTTTGCATGGCTCTCGTCACGCTAAGAACACTCGGAAGGCTGGGTTCCTTTGCGGGAATCGTTGACCTTAAACCCTTTTGTTCAGCAGTTCCCCTTGACTCAGTCCGATGCGTCACACGGGATGATACACTGCCTTCGGTGATCCTTTCGTAAGGGCCATCTTGCGACACAGTAGGCACATCCGTACTGCTTGCGGCGCGCTGGCCTTGGTTAGCGCTCGTTGATCCATGAGGGACCTGCACTGTGATTCCTCCATACACAACAGTAGGAGAAGGGGCTTGCCACCCTTCACTCGTAGCGCTGCTTGTGTCGGAGCACTTGTTCCGACCTCGTCGCCGTGGAATGGCCTCGTCGCCGGTAGGACTCTCACTCATCACCGCTTCAATCGCTGCTGCAACTTTGTTTTGCAGCTTTTTGGCCCGCTTTTCTTTGTGCACTGTCACTGCACGAATTTGAGGCCTTTCTTCAAGATCACCAGCTCTTGATCCGCAGGCCTTTTCCCACACAAAAAGCGTGGACAGCACGATCAACACTGTCAGAAACACCAACTCCCAAGGCCACTCGACAGGGATACCCTTGACATCGGGCCCGTCCTTTAGGGGCTCCCCACAGCAATTGCAGAACTGTAGCAATGCCACCACGGAGGCCAAGCAGGATTGTGGCATCGCACCCACAGACCTCACTGCCGGGTTGGATTCAACCTGACCTTGAGCCTCCAAGCCTTCACCTCTGAGCTGCAAAAGCTGGCACAGGAACTGCATTCGAGCTGAGGGTAGCGCCTTAGTTAACAAGTCTGCCTTTTGGAATTCACCTGGGCAGTGGGAGACCTTCCAGCCTGACTGCAGGAGTTGCCTTATCTTGTGCCCCCGTACTTTGAGATGTCTCGTCCTCTGACTCGCAGCCCCTTGTACAAAGGCTATTGAAGCCGTGTTGTCGAGGCAAAGTTCGGCAGATGTGCACGGGATGGCTAGATCCCACAAAATAGTCATGAGCGACTCCGCATACATACAGCCCTCGACTGCTTGTATGAGTTCTGCCTCTGAAGAACTCAGAGAAATCAAAGGTTGTTTGGATGCCTTCCAGAGCACCGGAACACCAGACACTTCGATGATGTGCCCATCGTAGGAATGCTGCCCCAGCAAACGATGCGTCAGTGAAGACTCTCAAAGGAGCTACACCCTCTGTGGGCTTCAAATGAAGCTTGAAGTCCTTGGTGTGGTGCAGATACGACATCATTCGTTGCCCAATTGCGATGGCTCCATGAGGGTCCTTCGAAACCTTCGAACACAGAACTGTAGTCGCAAATGCAATGTCAATGCGAGACCGCTGTGCCAACCATAGGCATTCGCCTGCCAACTTCTGAGCAGACTTCACCGTCTGATCATCAAAAGGCTGCACTGTTTCTGGTGCATGCATCAAGATTTCTTTAGGACACACAATCTTTGACCGGTTCGCTTCGCTGAGCTTGTAAGCCCGGATGAGCTCGTCAACGTAGGCCTCCTGGTCCAAACTGAAGTGTCCATCTTCATGACCCTGAAGTTGCATGCCTAAGAACCTCACCGGATGGCCAGGCCGTGCCTCGCTCAACCCATCGGTTTCCCAACCTGCTTCACTCAACAACCACTGATGCAGAGCGTGCGCTGTGGTCCTTTCACTGAGGACCAAAAAGTCGTCCACGTAGGTCACCAGATACCCTTTCAAGACGGTTCCTTTCAGGATTCTCCAGACTGACGAATCTGCCGTTCCTTGCTCCAGGTGGCATTCTGCGAAGACTGCCTTTCTTAGCTTCGCATCACGGTGGTCCGACCACCAGGCAGGGGCTTCTTTGAAGCCGTAGAGAACCATTCCAAGGGAGTAGTACTCCCCTGGTTCGGCCAGTCCGAGGTCGATGAGCCACCTTGGAGGACGCAACAGGTAACGCTGAGCTGCATGAGCCGGGATTGGCGTTTGAGTAAACGCCGACTTGATGTCGGTGGTGAACGCTGCCCACTGGTGGTGATACGCCTGTGTCAATGCCACTCTCACTGCTTCAGCCGGTGCTCCGGCTGCGTACAAAGAATCAGCATCCACATGCGTGGCCTGGTTGCCACATCCCACCAACCGACACTTGCGTTTAAACAAGCCATCTTCAGGCCCACTCGGGGCCTTCGCAGCGAAAACCCCCTTCAAGGAAATCACCGTTGTATCTGTGTTCGCCATCAGCTCCTTTGCCTCTTGACCCCGATGACTGATCAACACACCTTGCTTCTTCAAGGAACCCAGTTCTTTCTCTATGGCCGACCTCCATTTTTCAAGATTGGAGCGAACCTCCTCTTGCGATGCAGTGTGCGTCACACTCAATGGCTCTTGCAGCCGGCCCAACACTGTCTCCAGGTCCTTGGTGGTTGTTGCTTCAGTCTTGCACGCATAGGCTTCGGGTTCCGGAACTGGCGCAGGTTGTACAGGAACGACCTTGATGAACGCGGGATTAGGTAGATGCACCGGGAGTCTGGATGGTCCAGCGGGGGGATTACACCTTCCGACCTCAAGCTTCACAGCACGAACTTCCGGTGGCGGAGGTCCAGGAGGTTGAAGAATTGGTCCTATCTCCTCCTGACGCTGCTCCTCCTGAGGTGGTCGCCTTGCTTCCACACGAAGGATCACCATTTCGACAACATCTCGGATCACATCATGCACCGAAAACATGAGCATGCGATCGGGGAACGGGGACTCTTCGGTGGGCCCGTCATCTGCAAAATCCAAAACACGTGCAAGCAGGCGTGGCTCGCCTTCGGCTCCTGGCACAAGCACCTCTGGATTCCTGTTCCAGTTCCTTTGTCGAAACACCGTTTGCATGAAGAGATGGTGAGGAATTGATGCCGACAAGGCGTTCATGTTAGGATCCTCATCCTGACCCCCAAGGACACGCTGCCATCGACCCATCCTTCGCTCAAACTCTTCCTCCTCCAACTGGCAAAGCTCTGCCCATTCATCACCAGTCATCCTTGCATACCTCACCATCATCGCCGCTCTGCCTGGAGGTGGCGGATAAGGTCTAGCACGGATACCAGGCAACCTAGTAGGGCAAGGTCCCACTAACTTACACACCGCAGGAGGGCGATCCAGTGAAGGTAACCTAAGCCCGAGCTCGATCAGCTGGTGCTGCTTGAAAGCGGAAAGCTTCTGGTACCCCAACGGCGTGTACCCTGCTATAACCCAATTCGTGGCAGGCAGCACTGCATGTCGACACTTAGGATCAAACACAGTCGTGGCTTGTGTCAAAGGCAACAAGTACCCTTTGTGAGTGCGTCTCTTGCCATCTTGCTGTTCCAATTCTGTGAGCACAGGTGACGTCCCTTCAACCCACATCAAACGGGTTGTCAACTGTGTCACATGATTCAAGGAACCAGGTTCGTTTCTCACATCACGGTGCATAGCAACCTCATCGGCCACAATCACCATCAGTGAAGACCACTCATTGGCTGCAAGCTGATTGGGAGAGCACTGACACAAGTACTCGTTCAAGTATCGACACACCATTGGATACATGCGACTAGCTCTGGTAATCCCTTGCAAGCCACCGTGACTGTAAGCACCAAAGATAACCGAAAACCCTATCGGACCCCGATGCTCCCGACGCGTTCCTCCTCCAACTCCCTCAAACGCTAGCTGGAGTAGTCTTCCACAGTGATCGGACGAAAACAGCAGTCCCTCCAACAAGGTTTCAGCGTAATCCTCTGCGGCAAGTTTGACAGAACGCGCCGCTCTCTTGCCAGTAACACGTCGACTTGGTACTCCTGGTGAGACTCCTTGAGTGTGTTCGAAGCCCGGCTCCGGAGGATCAACTTCCACCACTTGTTCAGCTCCAAACTCAGCTTCTGGATCCACCATTTCCTCCACACACCGAACATTCTTGGCAACTAGATAGGCACTTGAAGCTGCACGAAGGAGCACGTGCCCACCTTCCGTGCGCGGTGTTGGACACAAGTACACAGCATGCTCCCAACGCAAGAAAGGTCTCTTAGACTTACCAGTGGGGTGCTTGCTCTTGAAAATCACCTTCTGGCCAAACCTTGGCAACCTTTCCCCAGTTTGCAACAACCGGCCTCTGTGCTCAGCACACGCAAATGCCATTGCTGAGGGCCACTGCTCCAGACCCAAACCCGACGACGCTAAATGCAACCTTGCCCTGGCTTTAACCCAACCCACAAGTCTTTCTGCTAGACCGTTGGACTTGGGATCATCACCCTGAGTGAATGAGGGCTGGATGAGATTGGACTGAAGCCAATCCATGGTGGCCTTGGACATAAGTTCCTTGGCTCGGTCTGTATGGACAACTTTCACTGGGTAGCCGAGGCGGTTGCACTCCGTGACGATTTCTTGCAGGCCTGCAAGGATCAGCGGACCCTTTCTAGCCTTCAAGGGCACTGCAAACCTCAAGACCTTGTTGGCACCTGAGAACAACATCTCAGAGAGGGCTTCATCAAACTTCTCATCGGTCATCTCACCGAAACCCCCAACATCTTCCCAAGGATCAACGTCCAAACCGACACCACCCTCTACCCCGGGCTCATCATCTGCTTCAACAGCCGCCTCCACACCAGAGCATTCTGCCTCATCAACAAAAGGAGCTTCATACCAGCCTACCTGTGAGCCTTCATCCTCCTCCTGAGATGATGAGTCATCTTCACCGACCTTCTTCACAACAGGCGTCGGTTCTAGCTGCTCTCGTAACCAACTGGCTTCGGAGGCTGCATCGTCATCTTGCTCTAGGCCACCACACACCTCAGCCTGAGCCTCTGGAGGCTGTGGTTCACTTGCTGGTGCGCCTTTGTCGTGCCTTGGCGAAGGCAACGCAGCATCAGGCACACGGAGACCAGCTACAAGTACATACTTGTATTTCCCACCACGGTCGTCTCGGCCTAGTTCTTTGAATGGTCCCGCTAGGTCAAAAGCTAATGCATACATGGTGGGGCATTTGACACGTCGATGTTGTAGCCCCAGAGACCCCGACATCACACACTGTATACAGTCCTTTCTGAACGGAATGTGATGAGCAGCAATGTGCTTGCGCCACCGTTCACGTTCGGCCTCTGTCATACGCGCAGCTACACTTCCTTTCTTAGCCTTGGTACCTTCCTTTGCACCTGTGGCACTGGACGATGCCTGCACACATGCACCTGCACTGCTGTCTACACACTGATCAAGACATTCTTCTTCTGCCCTTGGGGGTGGAACTGGGACTTCATCCGATTCCCTTAGCAGCTCACCATCGACAGCTTGAACCTCTGGCACAGGAGGCTTGAAAGACACAGGACCTGCAGGCCTCGTTGGATCTGACAACAGATATGCATCTGCCGCTTCTACAACTTTCACTGAAGTGGGCTCCTCCTCAGCCTGCCTTGATGCCGCCAACCCAAACAGTGCTAAACTCAGCTCGCTTTTGAAGGCAGTGGGCCACTCGGGATCTACAGGCACGTCGTCTGTGCGAGACCTCCCAGATAGGGATCTCACCCCGGTAGACGGAAAACCTAGGTTGGTGCACACCTGGAAGGGCTTTGTTTGCCGGATACCTTCATGCACCCCCGGAACCTCAAACTTTGTGCTGTTGCTCCATTCGGCAAAAGGATTCACGACAGCCCCCAGCCAAGGCGATGAACGGGACTCACCCTGCAGCACATGGGTTTGACAGAAAGGAACACCTTCCCCCCTCGCGAGCGATGCAAGTGTCCATAGCCACATCGGTTGGAGTCCTAGCACAGTGTCATCATCAACCCTAGTTTGCATCCCATCACTATTGCTAGGCTCGCCCCACAAATGCTCCTGACTCCGCAGCTGAACGCAAGACGTACCATTAACCTTCACCGAGTTCCACGTTCTCATTGGAGCGTCACAAAGGATCCCTGCGACACGACCTGTGAAAGCTGCCCAGGACAATGCCTTCCATACGCCCGACTCAAGAGTACCACCGAGCGTATTGTCAAGCTCAACGAGCTCAAGGTGTTGCGCCTTGCACAACTGCCTCAAGGTCGGATCAACTTTGTTGGTGCCCAAGTGCAACAACCAAGCATGCGACTGGTGAAGCTTCTTCCTGGTAGCCCGGTTGAAAGGCAGACCCTTCAGAGCCTCCCAACCAACTGCGTCTTGCAAATCAACCACCAAACGGTTGGTAACACGCTCTGGAACATCGCTAAGGAAGGGCATGAAGCGCGCAAAGGCAAGTGCGGTACCATAGCTTCCCTTGGTCACAAATGCGTCCAATGCTTCTTCGAACCGCATGCCACCTGCTACTTTCAACTGAGCTTGGACCCTTCGTAGCCTCCCAGAGAGCTCTTGAAGTCTGGCCCCTTCTAGCTCTTTGACGAGCTGCAACGCTTGCTCCTTACCAAGCTGTGGACATCCGCTTTTCAAGCTGGTTTTCAGCCTTCCCAATCGAGGGTGAATCAAATGAAGGCCAGATTTGTGAGACCAACGCACTGTGCAACCAAGCTGTTCGATGAGGCATCCCAACGGGAGTATGGTCTGCGACACACTTCCTTCCTTGTTCTCTGGAGCAACCAGCGAACCCCCGGGTGTTTGGTGCCAAACTTGTTTTTGATCACCAGCAAGCGACACAGTACACGGGATAAGGTCGGTACTTCTCACTGACGAGGAATCAAGCACAGCATGCGTTGCACCCGAATCCAACAAAGCTGTTGGCTCCTCCTGGCTCAAGGTGCCGGCATGGATAGCGCGAATACGGGGCCCTTGATCTGAGAGGCGCGATTCAAGGCTTTCAGGCTGTGCCTGAATTTTGGCTGCTGCCGCTATAGGTGACTCACCGCCTTGGCCGAGATGGTCTCCGGAAGCTGTTGAGGCTTGACCCCGGGTCTGATCTGTCGGGACCTGCGAGTTGCCTTCGGTGCTGGTAGATTGCGAAGACAACACATCCCTCAGAACTCCAGCTGCCTCTGAGAGCACCTTCTTCAAGCCTGGGTCTGCACCTTTGGCCTTGGCCTGACCTTCAGCCTTTGCAGCCTTCGCCGAGCTTGCGCCGTCGTCTCTCTTTGCCACAGCCCCTGCTGGAGCGTTGGGGCATACGTCCTTTCGGTGTCCCTTTGCCCCACAGGCCATGCAACGTTCAGCGCGATCTGGTTTTGGAATCTGATTCCAATCATGCAAGAAACGACACTCCTTGCCCCTCTTACACCCTTTTCCTTCATGGAACCACTTGCACAACTTCTTGGGAGAATCCGAGGACGCTGGAATACCTCCACCCTTGAAACCCTTCGGGTCCTTTGCACCTGGAGTTGTGTCGCCTGCTCCCTGTGCCTTAGCCTCAACCTGGCGAACGCTCTTGTTGGCCTCGGCCTTTGCACTTGGTGTTGGGACTGGTGGCACCTCTGAGACCCGTGACACAGCCTCTAGCTCAACTAGCAAGTGCTCATAGTACTCTCCCACTTTACTTGTGGTAGGTTGGGTGTCCAAGTGGAGAGAAGCACGCACAAGATTGATCCTGAAAGACAAGCTTGGCATTGAACGAAGCACGTTGCTAGTGATCGATTCCAGAGCTTGCACACACAACGCTGCATCGGGAGAAGCTCCCCCTAGATCCGTAAGCCTCGTCATCCATCGCTTCCAGGTCCTTAGACGAAGGACGGCATCGACAGCTGAATCCGCAGGGCGGGGGCTTTGAACCTGTCGTAGGGCTTCTGCCCTTTCCGCCACTCCTCCTGGTTTATACACCACATGCAGTCGACAAAGTATCCCCATCACTCCGCTGATCCTGGCAGATGACAGCTCTGACTTGACAGCATCTGGACAACTCTGAATGATGAGATGCTCCATTCGGTGGCGTACACGGGCCCAACGCGGTTCTGCATCGATGCTTGACACCGGGACTCTGAGTCGCACCCTACCAATGGGGTTGGCAGGTACAAACTGGTTGTTGTACCAATCCCGAGCCTGTTGAAGGACCCTTTCCCAACAGTCACCTGGCGTATCTGAAAGGTCACTCATCGACGGCTTCACAGCATGAATCCAGTCTGAAAACCCCAACGCCCCCTCAAGAGTTGGAGGAGGAAGCTTCACAAGCTCGGTCACTCCTGGCCTCACAACTTCTGGATTGGAGCCAGAACTTGTCGAGCACTGCCATGCTTGCTTGCTGCAAGATCAGCAACCACATTCTGAAGCTGAATAATCCCCGACATCATAGCCTCAAAGGGGTTTTTGGGAGCTTCGACCCTGTGAGTTCCATCGAATCCCCCTGCGCTTGGCTCTGGCCTTCCGACACCTGCACTCGTGCCTGAGACCAAACCTGCATTGCCTGTACCTACGTCTTGGGCGGCACCTGCGATGCTACCTGCGCCTGTACCCTGGGCAAAGACCTCATTGCCTGTACCTGCGCCATGGGTTGCACCTGCCGTGTCACCTGCGCTTGTACCTTGGGCAAAAACCGCATTGCCTGTACCTACGCCTTGGGTTGCACTTGCCGTGCCACCTGCGCCTGTACCTTGGGCAAACACTGCACTGCCTGCGCCTGCGCCTTGGGTTGCACTTGCGATGCCGCCTACGCCTGCGCCTTGGGCTTTAGGGTCACTTGGGTCACTTAGGGAGGGTCCTAAGCCTAGTGGACGCTGCCAACCTTGTAGGGCTGAGAGAGACTGCCACTGCTGCTTAGGGTACCCTTGATTCCCTGAGCTAGCAAGAGACACTGAGGGCTGGACTAAACCGTACGGGGTTTGGTGCTGACTCGCGGAAGGGGCAATCGGAGTAGCAGGTTGAATCCCACCAGCTTGGTGTGCGACCTCCAAACCTGTGATGGCAGCAGAAGAGGACGCGAGAGGGGGCGGAGGAGAAGTGAACGATCCAGTAGGCATGGCCCACCCCTCAGGTATAGCCAATGGAATCGAAGCTGACTTCACGGGTACCTGCTGAACAAAACCCATCAAGTTCTTTCTGATCCCACTGAACCACCCTCCCTTTCCCTGCTGCGAACCCTGTCCTTCCGGTACTGACACACTAGAAGAAGCTACCTGCCGCAACACTTGATTCTCTTCTACTAACACCGTCACTTTCTGTTGCAGCTCTGCCTGTACACGCATGAACGTTTGCATTTGCCTCTTCACTTCAGCTTGGATAGCATCCGCTTGGTCAGAACCTGAACTCGTCGAGTGAGGCAAAGGAGGCGAAGGACTCGTCGGCCGTGGCTCATTCTCCTCGCCAGCATACAGCAGCGGCGCTTCACTCTGCATCTCACGCAGCCTTTGTGCCTGCTGAGGTGAGAACAGACCTGGCTCTGCTGCCTCTTGGCCTCCACTCGAAGAGGGATGCTCCCGTAGATTCTCTGAACCCGCTGTCACATATCCAGAACCCAACGTCCCAGCTGACCCACCATCGTCCTGTCCCAGAAACGAAGATGCACTTCCAGTCTTGCCGGAAGGTGGCATCGCCCCTTGAACCTTCGCAGCCACAGTCGCCATGACCCTCCCGGCTGCCGCTCGTAGTGACGCCACTCCAGGCCCTTGTTCGGCCCTTCCAACATCTCTAGATGCACCTTCTCTCTGCGATTCAGGCACCGACGGCGGTCCCCTTATCTCGCCGTCCATCATCATGGGACCCATTGATCCATAGGACCCAATCGTCCCATTCAGCACTCGCGGAGGTTTCGCTTTAGCGGATTGGGCGCCCATAACCTGTTGAACTTCGTCATCTGATCTTGCTACCCTGCTGTCTGGCCTTGCCACAGTCTGACCAGGTAGATCCTCAAGGTTAGGGTTAGCCTGCTCACTTTCGGGCTCCACGCTCATCCCCGCAGTAGATCTACGACTCCTCAAAACGAAATCCGTAGTCAGTCACACGAGAAAGGCCATGGGGCCGCGGGCGAATTGAAGACTCTCTTTTTCACAGCCACAACATCTCTGAATCCTTGCGCTGCTACCTTGTCCAAAGGTCTATGCTACGCTTTGGGAGAAAACTGCAGTTGCTGACTGTGACAGTTCGAGCCACAACTACAGTCGCGAGGAGGTATCCAGCTGTACAAAACGAAACCTGGAATTCTACAATTATAATAAGGAGCCCCCAAAATAGTACTGGTAATTAAATAGCCCTACATTGACTTCTAACTTTCAGTTCGGATCAGGCCAGGCGGCACTGTGTGCGACCGCGACGAAGCAATGTTCATGGCGGTCGAAGCCATCTGCTTGCCTCGGAAAGCCCGCAGACAAAGTACTCGTGGCAGAACTCAGCTGGGACCCTGGAAGGTTTCCCCTACTCAGGGCCCAACGAACACAACTAACAAAGCCTGTCGACGTTAGCACCATTTGAAGGGTCCTCACCAGTATTCAAGGGGCGACGCATCAGAACAGGGATCTGGAGGAAGAGGCTGCTGCTACACCCTTGACGAAGAGGTACTTTGCATCAGTGCCTGAATGTCAACTATCAAGCCTCATGAAGCATGACGAGCGATCAGAAGCCGGAGAGCCTCAACAAAAAGCTAGCATCGTGGACTGCTCGGGATCCGAATCTTAAGGGCGACCGGGGCACGCTGGACTCCGGCGTTGTAGAATTTCAACGCATCTTCCGCCGAGGTGCACTGGTACCTGATTCGAAGGCAAGGCATTGCTCTTCCCACGAGGTCGCGATGAGTGCGTCTTAAAACTTCTTGTGTTCATCCTGCGTTAGGCAGCGTGCTTGGTAGGCCCCGGCCGTCGCAACATTGTATCGAACGTGCAGGTGACAACACAATCTACACGGACAACTAGTCGAGGGACCCGTCCCAAACTGCTAAATCCCAACCCAGGGCCGCCAAGCGGCACGAAGAGGTTCTCCACATAGAAGTGCTCCCCCGCTGCATCCCAGCGTAGCCGTAAGCCGCTGTCCTCGGCCTGACCGAAGCCTGAGATACACCAGGGTTTGGGATACCGTTTGTATGTGTTACCCCAACCCAAACCCCACTGGTACATAGCATCGCATGGTGCCACAAAGCAATCGTCGTCTTCCTCGTCGTCGTCGCATTAGAGGCATAAAAACGCCGCTTTAAGGCCCGAGTTCATCCCAACGCGTGCTACTCGATCCCAGGAACCCAGAACCGACATTCCGAGACTAGTTTTGGCAGGCTGCGAGTGGATTGCTGCCTTTGTTGCATGTTGTTGCTATACCAATTTATGGATGATTGCAAGGATGGCGCTGGGGGAGGCGAACTGTTTCCGCCACATCATCAAGGTTGTTGTGGGGCAATAAGTAATTCGGATTTGCAGCTATCGTACAGGAAGCTGGGTTCCAGCAGACTAAATACACATATAGTAGACGTGCTTCGATGCGTCCAAATGATTGAATTTTAAGGTGTCTAGGAAGACTGCGCTGTATACGGTCTTGGACATCATTGATTATGATTATGAACAGAACTTGCTGGGGATGCTGAACATGGTTTCAGACATTATGTACTGTATGTCTTCATTGCTATTGCGGCTTTAGTTGGTTGTATGCTGGGCCAGGTCGATTGAATCTTATCGATCCTGCACCGTACTAGTAGAGGACCTGACAAGTAAAAGGGATGTTTACGAGGCCCCGGCAATGCACAAGACTTCACGCTGACCCGAATACCGCTAGCCGCTCACTCGAACATGGAGCATAGGAATCTGCAGTTTGCCACGAAGGAAAATGACCCTGAAACAGCTTACTTACTTGAGGGGGGATTCTGCTTGGAAGTCTTTCAGCTAAGAGGCCCTGCGGCAGAACCGGCGCTGGATTCAGCAGATCGTAGATTCGTTCCTGCCAAGTGAAGCAGTAGGCGGCTTCGTGCCAAGCAGCAGTTCCAAACCTGGTAGATGTGGTTGAAGGAGTACGGACGCGACTTGCCACCATCAGCCCCTAGACGGTTCCAAGACTAGCAAGCGTTGAAGCCATAAAACCCAATGCTTCAGTGCCTGGTAGATCTGCAGAAAGGAGATGCTCACGCTGAACGTCTCACCGTTATCATCGACCTTTGGGGTTTCGGGGCGTTGGCATCCGAAGAACTGTGCTGAGGTCTTGCATGGGTTGTTGTGCGCAACTTGACTGTCGAACGAAGTTCATGAAGAGTCGAACATTCCCAAACAAAGGTGAAAGACAAGCACGAGATTGGATCGGCCTCTCGCTGCAGCTTCTCGACATACCCGAAGAGCTTTTGCAGCACGCGAGGTATCCTCGGTGACCCGAAACATACTGCAGCAGACCCACGCACTGCACCTGAAGCTCGAACATCCCGCAGCAGCCGTAGCATCTACGTGCACTTCTTTCGAGTGAAACCGGGAAGGTCAAGTGCCGATTGGCCAACTGCAACAGTTCGTGGCCCCTTCTCCGTGCGGACGGGTCCTTTCTGTGGTCTACTGCAATGCCTGCATACCGACTGCTAGCACAAGCGGCACTCCCAATCGCTCGGGGGTGGTGGTGTGGACACAGACCTCATGCTGAATTCGATCGGAGACACAGAAACCGTGAGAAACCCGAGCACCACTACCATTGCTACCCGCTGTCACTACCAACGCTACTTCTACCATTGCCTCGACCACGACCACGACCACGACCACGACCAGCACCACCACCACCACCACCACCACCACTACTCCTGCTACTACTACTACTACTACTACTACTACTACTGCTACTGCTACTGGTACTCTCACTGCTACTGCTAAATCTACTGCTACTGCTACTGCTACTCCTCCTCCTCCTACTACTTCTTCTACTACATCTACAATCCAAACAATCAAAAGAGTCAAGGATGAAAGGCAGTGCGACTCAAAGACTTTAAGAACATGTGTTAAAGCGAGGCAGGATCGCGAACTCTGACCAGCACCTGCGGTGAGCCTTGTAATTACCCACGGCATCCCAGAACCATACGCTCGGAATTTTAAGCCCTCGACTCCAAGCCCTGAAGCCTGAGACCCTGTGCCTGGGGCTTGCCGGCTTCCGCAGCCTTCGCATCCGGTCTGTAGCGGTAGCCCTCCATGGTATACGTCTTGCCGGATCCTCCGAGGACGACGACTGCTGGTATTGCTATTGGCCTCGTGCCTCCGTCTTTTTCATCTTGTTGCAATTACTGCTGCTGCTGCGAGATGCTCTTGCTGTTCAATCGATATTGCTGTCAGCAGAACTGTTTGCAAATTGCATCTTGTGGTGATGACAAAGCATCCCATGCAAAACACGTGACTACTTGATTGTCTTCTTCCTCGTCGACCAACGATACTGCTGCGACAACCGCTTCACGTGTAACAACTGCAACGACCACACCTGCTGCTGCTGCTGCTGCTGCTGCGACTAACCCTGTGATGTGCGAGGCATCTTAGTCTCCTCCTGTGGGTCCGATTTCGAAAGGGCGGCTTCGGGTTCGTTGGAGCAGGCATGCGAGTGGCACTGTCGCTCTCACGCGTCCTTCTCTTTCTCTTCTGCTCGTCTCTGTTTCACGCCTCGTCGCTTCTTCCACACAGCCAAAGGACAGCGCAAGCCTCTCTGTCTTTCTCGTGCTTCTTTCGCAGGGCCTAGGGCCGAGCCTCTCTCTCTCTCCTCCCGCGGCTTTCAGACATCGGGGTCCTGTCTGGCCATATGCGAAGACGGTAGCATGGTAGCCGGCCGCTACCTTCACAGAACAACTCAGTCCCAAATGGCAGGCCCAACTACAGGCAGTACACACATTCCTTCCGGCTCTTCGACTTCCTGCAGGTCAAACTGACGAGCATTTGATGGACCTGCCTTTTGCATCAAGGCATTCAGCTTCAGGCCCTCGTACACGTCTTCTTGACTGCCTAGGTCGTTGTAACTTGGGGCTTGCGTCACTGCCCGAGCTAGTGGTGCTGCAATCCTGCTGGTTTCCTGCGTCTGCGGCTAAACTTATCGCTCGAGAAGTGCACAGCACGACGGTCCTACTCGCTGGCAAGCTGTAGGCTCACGCTTCGCCAATCAATCGCCGCATTCACACCGGCAGCTCGTGGCCACAGCAACCGGAGCACTGTGCGGTCAGTACTGCCAGCTGCTAACATTGCGAACTACCTCTCAACAGCGCATGATCTACAGACACCTGGGAGTTAGGATTGGGGGGACCCTTGGGGACATAGACCCTCTCAACAAGATTCCTTTTAAGAGAGCCAGAAGCAGGGTTCAGAAGGGTCCCCTTTAAGGGGTCTCCCACATACTACCCAGGAGCACCTTCCTCACCGACTACCGAAAGAAAGATGATCTCCGACCAGCTGCTCTCGGGCCCGAAGACAGAACCTTAGTTTGGAAAAAAGCTGGGTTCTTTGAAGGACAAGCCAGTCCCCATTAGCTGCCTGATGTTGGGGTAGTCTTCTAGCTGAGCGATCTCGTACTATAGCGGTACCGCGCTCTCTAAACTTGTCGCGTTTTGGTGAGCTCTTTCTGAATCAAAGCAGAAGGAGGAGCCTGGTTCGCGTTTCGCTGGCTGCCATTGAGACAAAATATGCCGGGGCCGTGCCCCAACTGAAAGCTCTCGGACCATGCAACTGTCACAGACAGGACCTTCGTTTGGACCGGCTTGCAGAGCCTGAAATGCGAAAAAGGTCATGAGCCTCCGAAACTCGGCGTGGAAAAGTTGAAAGGGCATCGCGCGACCAGCTTCTCCTTGTGCATGCGCACCTGGTTTTCCCTTCGCCGCACCTAGCTTTTCGTTGTGCGAACGCTGAAACTCCCGGTGGGAGGTTGAGGATGTGGCGAGCAGAAGGAAGAGCCAGGTGCACACAAGGAAAAGGCAGGTGCGCAGCAGGAAAAGCCAGGTATGAGTTGGGGAGCATAAAAAGGAAAACAGTGCGCAGAACGCCCGAAACCTTAGCATGAACGTACCGATATGGCAGGGGGGGCGGGGCCGAACCCTGTATCCATCCTAAAACCCTAACGTGGGCAGTGCTTCGCTACTCGGAAGGGAATGGGGTTAGCCTCCCCGAATCAGGACGTGGATACTGCACAGCAACGCGAAAATTTGGCTACGCAGGAGACAGCCCTGAAGCAGCACGGAATAAATAAGGGGAACAAACCATGCAGCATCAGAAGACGAAGGCAAGGCCCAGCTTCTGCGATTCATCCGGGAGGCTGAATGCAAATTCTTGCGGCTTGCGCACACGGCGGCAGTCTCGGTCTGCGATGTTTTCCTGACACAGGACCCCAGACCCAGGTGCATCCAGCGAACGAGTTTGCTGTTGGAATACATGAATTTGTGCTTACCGTGCATGTGCACTCACCTGACTGTTTAATTACATAATTCACTTGTTCATACTCATGTCTACTACTACTACTACTACTACTACTACTACTGCTGCCACTACTGCAACTACTGCTACTACTGCTACTACTACTGTTACTGCTACTGCGACGACGACGACGACTACAACTTCTACTAAGGCTGCGGCTGCTGCGGCGGCGGCTGCTGCTGTTGCTGCTGCTCTTCCTCTGCCTCCTCCCCCTCCTCTTACTTGCCACTCTATCCTACTGCCTGCTGCTACTGTTACTGCCTTCATCAGCTAGACACTGACGCAGGCCTCTCGGAATGTGACGTATATGTTTCATACACGGAGAGGCTGCCCTATGGCCACAATAGCCCCAGCGACACCAAGGCCAGAAGAACATTTGGCTGAAGTCCTCGGCTTATATTTAACCCTGCCTCCACACCCTGAAACCTACCCCAGAATGTCACTGTCGTGACGATGGCGTTGTCGTGATCTTACGACTTGCTGTACGCGGAAAAGCAAGAATGAGAGATCGGAAGGAACACTCTGAACATGCCTTGACTCCAAATCGGCAGGGCCTCGTTGCCCTCCGATAGTGCCAGGGTCACCTTGGTGGCTCGTCAAGAAACTCATGCAAATCGAGCGGTCCAGGAGCAGCAAAACTCACATTCCGCACAAGCTACGACCCCGCGCACCTTCCCTGATGCGGTGCGCAAGGCTTCGGCGGACCCTCCAGCACGAAGCTCCTTGCAGCACAGAAAGCCCGGTTTTGAGGGATTTCCGGAAACTGAAGAAATCCGGCCGTGCCTCTTCAAGCAAAGGCCGGACGCGCACACAAACCTTCCAGCTACAGGAAGTGGACTTCTTCGGCGTAAAGGTTTCGAGATAACCGTGATGTTCAGGCAGTTCTACTCCAAAGTGTTGATGTCGTTGGTTGCCTTCTCTTGTGGCCGTGGCCAGTGCTTGTGGTATCTTAGCTCTGCTGACTTCTGGGCGCAAGAGAAACTGCTCAGATCAATCATACAGGCTATCGAGGTAGTAGTAGAAGTAGCAGTAGAAGCAGTAGCAGTAGAAGCAGTAGTAGTAGAAGCAGTAGCAGTGTAGTAGCAGTAGCAGTAGCAGTAGCAGTAGCAGTAGCAGTAGCAGTAGCAAGTACTAAAGATAACCGTATGCTTCTGTTTGCCATCCAATCCACCAATCCAATGCCCTTTTTCGTACAGGCTGAACGTACTGATGGCAGATCACTACGGCTGTCGCTTAACCCTGCTAAAACCTTTATTCAAAGATGGACGATACACTCCCATTGAAGCCCACATCCCTGAACTGCCGGTCGACCTGCACAGCAGGCAAGTCCACCTCACACTCCTGTGAGCAGTGGGACGCGGCGACAGAAAGGGCATTAATAATGGCAGCACCAGCACTGGCAGTAGCCGTAGCAGTAGCCGTAGCAGTAGCATCAGTAGCATCAGTAGCATCAGTAGCATCAGAGTAGCAGTAGACTAGGAGTAGCAGTAGGAGAACGGGTCGGTTTCAGTTCGCCCAGGGCGCAGGATGCCACATCAAAAATTGCATTCTCGCCGCCCGCAGGGGCGATACTCAGCCAGTGACGCCGCATCGGTCTGAGACGATTCCTGGCCCTGTGCTGAGCAAGGATCACACTGCCTATCGCGCAAAGCTGGAAGCTGTGCATGCCTTATTTCATGCTCTGTCAAGGTCAGGGCCCAGGGATTGTCAGTCTGCGATGGAGGCAGTGAAGGGTCATGGACCGACTCGACGGTGAGCTCGTCGAGCTGGTTCCACTGGTCTCCGAGCCACGCACTAGCAGTAGCAGTAGCGGTAGCAGTAGTGGTGGTACTAGTCGCAGCAGCAGTAGCTTGCATAGGCCTGTATATTCTCTACTCAATTTAGAGATCTAACAGAATCCATACACTAAAGAAACCAAGTTCCAAAGAGCTATATAGCAGTGTATCCCGAAACATTGCGTTTACAGCAACCATTCATGTATTCTCGCCGACTCCTCTGCCCCTGGACTCTCGGCAGCATTGGCCGACTCATCCGCGTGCACCATGTCCTCACGATGTGTGGCGGTGGGAGCTGGGACCTAGGGCTCCGAGTTGAGGTGGGCCCGTCGGTCCGGCGGCTGCCTGAAGCCCCCCATAAACAGTAGTCAGTGATTTCAATCCAGGCCGCCTCCAGGCGAAAAGCACCCTTGAACTCCCATGAACGACCACTCAATCAGGACTGCTCCATTCCCCACAGCAGGACCCGTCCCCCCACGAGACCCTGCCCGCAACTAGTGGTAGCACTAGTTGTCGTAGCAGATGTAGTGGTAGTGGCAGCCTCAGCAGCAGCAGCAGTAGCACCAGCAGCAGCAGTAGCACCAGCAGCAGCATTAGCAGTAGCAGCAGCAGTAGTAGCAGCAGCAGCAGCAGTCGCAGTAGCAGCAG